AATTATCAGAAAAACACAAGTAAACACAGACTATCTAGTAAAAGATTAAAAAATTTAAAATGACAACTGGAAGTCAAAAACACAGAAAGTTATAAGCATACTAACTTATAGGCATGGTGGTGACTGTAATCCTAGCTCTCCAAGAGGCTGAGGCACGAGGATTACAAATTCAAGCCCAGCCTAGGCAATTTAGCAAGATCCTGCCTCAAAATAAATTTTTTTAAAAAAAATAAGTAAATAAATAATTTTTAAGAGGGATAGAGATGTATACCACTAAAGAAATGATGACAGAACTAAGAATATTTAGAACATATACATGTTATTTTGATTCCATTGAATGCCCCTACTAAACAGTCTCTAGGATTTAATTCTAGAAGTCAAAACCCAGTAGAATGCTGTCTACCAACCAAGTGACTCAGAAAGGTTGAAAATATAGAAGAACACAAAAGCAAACCAGGAAAACAAAAGTGAAAGTTGTCTCAGTCTTTTGTGTGGTGCTGGCGTTTGAACCCAGGGCCTCAAGCATGCTAGTCATGTGCTCCACTGAGCTCCACCCAAGACAGAAAACATTAAATTGCGTATAAGAAGATGTCTCATAATGATAAAGGGTGCAGTTAACATTTGAAAGTTCCCAAAAAAATTATCACAAAAAGATGACCTCAGATACTTTCATAAAATATAAGATAGTCAATATTGACAAATTTTAACATCCTTAATAATACTTGGATTAAAAAGAAAATCAAGGGCCGGAGATTTAGCTCAGTGGCACCACGCCTGTCTTGAAAGTGCAAGGTCCTGAGTTCGATCCCTGGTACCAAAAAAAAGGAAATCAAATCTTCAAGCTAGGAATATCTAGAAAATAACTATATAGGCTGGGCTTGGTGATGCACATCTGTAATCCCAGCTAGGGGAGGCTGAGGTAGGAGAATCATAGTTTGAGTGCAGCCTTGGCAATTTAGCAAGATCCTGTCTCAAAATAAAAGCTGAGGATGTAGCTTACTGTTTCCTGGATTCAATTTCCAGTACCATGAAAAAAATTAAACAAAACAAAAAAACCTACATAATTACATTACAAATAATAAAAAAGTAATATATATTGGAATATATAAAATAATGAAATATTACATTTCACTATGTATTATGGAAATACCTCACACCTTATATAACTAAAGTATTGAAAGAATAAAAATTTAGCTATATTTATATTAATCAAGAAAGTAGAGCTGGGCATGGTGGTGCACACCTGTAATCCCAGCACTCAGGAGGCTGAGGCAGGAGGACCTCTGTGAGTTCAATGCCAGCCTGAACTACATGTGAACCCTGTCTCAAAAAACCCAAAAAGACAAACAAACAAAAAAGAAAGTGGATAAGTGTGATCATTATGTATGGCAAACATGTACTAATAAAATATAGTAATAAAAAAAGAAAGTGTTAGGGCCGGGGATTTAGCTTAATGGTTCCACCGCCTGCCTCGAAAGCAGAAGGACCCGAGTTCGATCCCTGGTACCAAAAAAAAAAAAAAAAGAAAGTGTGGCAGGTCATGGTGGCACATACCTATAACCCCAGCTACTGAGGAAAACTGAGGTTAGGATCATGAGTTTGAGGCCAGTCTGGCCTACAGGTGAGAACCTATCTTTAAAATACCAAGCGTGAAAAAAATGAGCTACTTACCTAATGGAAGATACTTGAAAATGTTCAAGGACAAAATAACCTGAAAATAAATAACAAAATAAACCTGAAAGAACAAAAAAATTAATAAAATAAAAGCAGAAATTATGATTTTGTAGAGAGGAGGAAAAGACAATATAAATAATCAATCCAAGAGCTGCCTCTGCTCAGTGGTAAAGTGGCTGTTTAGCAAGCATGAGGCCCGGGGTTCAGTCTCCAGCACTGCAAAACAAGCAAAAAAAGGATAAAGCATTAGTTAACCTGTTCAATACATAAAAGAAGCAGCGAGTATATGGAAATTATCACAGATGAAATGAAAGGGATCATAAATTATTTCTTTGCCCAACTGTTTATGAACAAATGTAAGAATAATATAGATGAAATAGTCTTCCTGAAAAGAAGTCTTAAAAAAAACAAATTAAAAAAGAAGAAGAAGAAAAGAAAGAAATTAGGGCCAGGGATTTAGCTCAGTGGCACTACGCCTGCCTCGAAAGTGCAAGATCCTGAGTTTGATCCCTGGTACCGGAAAAAAAAAAAAAAAGTACGTCCTCTTTTGCCCAAAGATTTGTCTTTCCTCTCTCATCTTTTAGGAACCCACAAAATCACAACCAAAGGCTTTAAGCTGCTAAATTGGTTCTCCTTTTACTTATTTATTTTAATGGTAAGTTACAAGTTCTGGATTCATCTTAGCCTCCTAATATTTCAACCCTACTTTGCATGCTGACTTTTCCCCCTAAAAATAGTAGGCGCCAAATTCCCCAAGTATATCTGTCTGACCACAGAAAGGAAAATTAGTCATCACACTAAAAGAGTATGTTAACCAATTAATATTTATACTTACCTCTCAGATATATGCTACAGGTCTAGGACAAAAAGAAAACTTTTAAAAGGTCTAAATTGCATTCCATGTAAAGCTCCTCTTCCAAGAATGGCTAGACATTTGCCGTGCTGCAGAGGGGCCTGGGATTCTTTGTGCTTGACCTAAGCAGTTAGTTACTCCTGGATAGGTCATAATTCAGGTGGACCTCTGCTGTCCTCTTGCCCTGGGGTTTCCCACTTGGGCTGCTCAGAGCCTGTACTGGCTTCAGCTGGAGCTCTGTGTAAGTATATTTTACTTGTGTACACACATGTAAACATAGGCATATAAGCATGTTTTGTGTATTGAGTTTCCTGAAAGAATTCTGCAGCAGGAGGGGTAGGGGGTTGAAAGTCAATCATCTGACTTCATTGCACTGATGAAAACCTGGGCTCAGCAGTGACTTCATAACCAGCTGTACTGGTCTTTCCTTCCTTTGAGATGTTCTGTCCTTTTCCTGACACACACGCAGGCACACACACATGCACATTATACTCACGCTGTCTCCTTCGGTCTTGCTCACCCATTCAGCCTAAGAGGAGGGCACCTTGCGGCTCAGCTCACTCAGCCCCTGCAGTGTCAACCACGATCGCTTGTATCCCTCCTTGCGGCTGCGTCTCTGGCGCACCTCACTCTCCATGACTGAGCTGTTCCTACGCCTCTCTCCTCTCACTGCAGGCAGTGTAAAGGCAGGTACACATTTCGTTCGTCTCGCTTGCTGGCCTACCGCAGGTGTTTCAGAAGTGTTGGTCCCGCCAGAGTGACACAACGAATGGCCCTGCTGTGGCTATGACAGTGCACGGAACTGGGCAGAGCAGGCCCTGCAGCCTTCCTCCTGCGGTCTGGCTTCCTCAACTGAGCTCAATCCATGATTTGGTGTCCTTTGTTTGAAATGGCTCAGCCCAGCATCTAGGGAAGAAGAGAACTGGGAGTTAGGAAGAGAATGAAAGATGATGAAGCAGAATAACTCTGCCTTGCAGAATGCGAAGCCCACATGAGTTTCTGCTGGGAAATGATCTCTCCTTCGAATCTCCAGTTCCTGTGCCTCACAAGAAAATCCCAGTTCCTCTCTTTCTCCCTCAAAACCTTGATTACTTGCTTAGTGGTTGTAGTGAGAATGGAAGTCATGACAAACTATTTTTACATATTTTATCAACTCTAACATGCCATCAGTTATAAAGCTCACCATTATTTTACACACCGTGAAGAAAACACTCCATTAAATCATGACGAGATTTCAGAGATTTTCAAGAATGTGAAAAATGAGACTTAAATTTTTTTTTTTTTTTTGGTACTGGGGATCAAACTTGGGTTCTTGTGCTTGCGAGGCAGGTGGCAGAACCATTGAGCCAAATCCCCGGCCCAAAAGAGCCTTAAATTGATGAAATATATCCACATCGTAGGTTGCTGCTTAATGACACCAGGTTGTATGGGTCACGGTATCCTCGTCTGTTGTCTGAGCACTTTGGGCCAGATGAGTGCTTCGAACCTCGTCCTGACACCTGGAGTTCTGTCACTCTGGGAAGTAATGCTCTTGACTGGGCAGTAGCTGTGTGATCACCACCAAAACAGGAGTCCTGTTCAGCCCTCTCCCCTTTAAGAGCTGAGAGTTGGGCCGGGGATTTAGCTCAGTGGTTCCGCTCCCTGCCTTGCAAGCACAAGGTCCTGAGTTCGATCCCCAGCACCAAAAAAAAAAAGTGCTGGGGATAAAGCTCAGTGCAAAAGCCCTGGGTTCAATTCCTAATATGGAAAAAAAAAGAACTGAGGGTTCTCACATGGCAGTGTGGCTGATATGGCTAAGATGTTTTGGGAATCACTACTGGGACTTTTTTAGCACCTGACAGCCTTGACAAACGCTAATGTTCGGTGCCGAGCCCTGGGATATTTCAGCAGGAAAGCTAGAAATGTAAGCTGGGATTGAAGCTCAGCGATAGAGCACTTGCTTCAACCTAGATTCAATCTCCAACACCACAGAAATAAAAATAAAGAAATGTCAATAAGGCAATTGAGTGAATGGTTAGGATGGCCATCACTCTTTATCCAACTTGACTCTTGGATGGAAATTATGTTCTCTTGATTTTTTATTCTTCTGTACATTTTCACTCTTGAATGACTACAAATATCATAGCTGCTGCATTTTGCAATCAATAACATGTCCCAATGGGCTGGGCATGGTGGAGCACGCCTATGATCCCAGCACTCAGGAGGCTGAGGCAGGAGGATCACAAGAACGTAAGGACAGCCTGGGCTATAATAAATACAGAGTTCAGGGCTAGCAAGACCCTGTCTCAAAAAAATAATAATAACATTCTAATCAAGGAAATCCAATAAATCATTTTCCTTCCTGGCATCCCCACTTGCTTTCTTCTCTACAAGTTGGAATGAGGGCTGCAGAGCAGAAGCACTGGGTCTTCAGGACACTGTGTAAAGCTTTGGTCTGGGCGGTGACGCTGTTTTCTGCTCCTTCTTCCCCCAGGTGACATCGCCCCAGTGCAGGGCACGGCGTTTGACCTGAGAAAGGCAGTGGAGCTGGGCAGACACCTGCAGGAGTTTCACATCGATGGTTTCGACCACAACTTCTGCCTGAAGAGGTCTAAAGAAAAGCATTTTTGTGCAAGGTGGGGTACTTTTCACTTACACCGCTGTGGGTCGGGGGGAGGAACTGGGATTTGCATTTGAGATTCTTCTCCTGGCTGTATCAGTAGCATTTGCTGGGCGACGGAGCCAGAAGCCCAGGTTTTCCTAGCTCTTGCACCGCGGGGGAGGCGCTGGGGAACCTTCCGTCCTTCCCACGCCCATTACCCCGCGCTGCCTGTTCTCCCTGCCCTGTTTTGGGAAGCCTCCTTCTTCCTGACTGAAGACCGGTGTGCACGCCCAGGCAGAGCTGAGGACCCCCGTTCACCTCTCCCGCCACCCGAGGTCCGGTTTGATCGACGTTTGTGTGCACCCCAGCTCCACCCTCGGAGCTTTATCTTGGGAATCCCTTCCTCTACCTCATACTATGCTTGGATAGCAAGTAACCAATCCATGTTTATAGACTCCGGAGATTTTAATGAAAGCAGAGAAAATGATTCAAACTGTGTTAGAGCTGGAAAGCGCTATTCCCGAGCGCTCTCCTCCTCAGAGCCCCCACACCAGGGTCCCGTCTGTCCCCCCTGCCCAAGGCTCCTTCCTCCTGTGTTTCTCGTCCGCTTCCTCAGCCAGCCATGGTAGCACATGCCTGTAATCCCAGTACTCAGAAGGCTCAGGCAGGAGGATCACCATGAGTTCGAGGCCAGCCTAGGCTACATAGTGAGTTCAAGACCAGCCTGAACTACGTAGTGAGACCCTGTCTCAAAAAGAAGGGCAGATCCTCCTCTTCTTTCTCCTTTCCCCACAGCAGCCGGCAAAGAAGCCTCTCCCGCTTCACTGGTTCAAATCCTGGCCTTCCACTTCCAGTCATCTTTCGCTGAGCCTCTTTGCTGACAGCATATTGTGGGGGATGTTTTAACTTTTGCCCACTTCTTTATTTTTTACTTTTTTGACTTTTTGAGACAGGGTCTCACTATGCAGTTCAGGCTGGCATTGAACTCACTATGTAGCTGAGGCTGGCCTTGAATTCTCAGTGATCCTCCTGCTTCAGCCTCCTGAGTACTGGGATCAGGTGTGCACCACCACACCTGGTTTAACTTTTGTATCTGTGTGTTTTGCCTCTTGGTGAGACCCACCCATCCCCCTCCCCTCCCCTCCCCTGCTCTGTGTGTGTGTTACTGGACATTGAACACAGGGCCTTGCACTGAGCTACATCTCCAGCCCTTTTTAAAATTTGAGACAGGGTCTTGCTAAGTTTCAGTCTGGCCTTGCATTTGCCATCCTCCCTCCTCAGCCTCTGGAGTAACTAGGATAACAGGCATGCACCATCTCTAGCTAGGTATTTATCTATCTATATCCCTTCCATAGCAAGTAAAGATCCAAGTAGGAGATCACCTCTGTAAAGGGCTCATTTATTAAAAAAGAAAAGAAGACCAGGCCTGGTGGTACAGGCTGGGAGGCTGAGGCAGGAGGATTGCCAGGAGTTCAAGGCCAGCTGGGCCTTGGAGGAAAAGAAAAAAGGACACAGTGAATCATTGGAAACCCACAATAGAACTTTTAGGAAGACTAACCAGCCTGCTCAAGCCCCTGGGAGAGGAACAGTTTAATTCAGAGAAACATCTTTCATCAAATGTGACTAGTTCTCCTACCAGGCCAAGCAGAGAACTCCAACTCTATGAAAAAGAATCTCAAGGAAAAAAAAAAAAAAAACCCACACACAAGAAGGGCCAGGGATTTAGCTCAGTGGTTCCGGCACCTGCCTCGAAAGCGCAAGTTTGAGCCTCGATACTGAAAAAAACAAAAAATGAAAGAAAAAGAATCTCAGGGGCCGGGGATTTAGCTCAGTGGCACTGGCTGACTCACAAGCGCAAGATCGTGAATTCAATCCCTGCTACCAGAAAAAAAAAAATCTCATAGCTCAGTCAGTGCTGGCCTCAAAAGCACAAGGTCCCGAGTTTGATCCCCAGTAACAACAAAAAAAGAACTATGTGCAAAAATAATCTCGGCCCCATGGGCTGGGCGTGAGGCTCACGGGGAGAACACTTGCCTAGCACATGAGAGGACCTAGGTTCAATCCCCAGGACTGCAAAAGATAAAGGGCATGGTGGCACACATCTCCAATCCCAACACTCTTGAGAGGCTGAGCCAGGAAGATCACAAGTTTGAGCCTGGCCTGAGCACCTTAGCAATTCAGAGAGACCATCTCAGAAATAAGAAAAGTTCTGGGGATGTAGCTCAGTGCGAAGGCCCTAGGTTCAATCTGCAGTACCACAATATAAATAGTGAATATATAACCTCAGCCCCTCCTGGACTCTGAAACTGCCCAGGCCGTGTGAGTCTGCTTTGCCATTCCCCAGAGAAGCCAGGATTAGAGAAACTGCTATGAGAGTGTCTGTCCCCTCTCCCTCCCCTTGTCTCCTCCATGCACCTTGTCCTTGCTCTGCGGCTAGGTCTGGTTCCTGTCCCAATGCTGCTCCCCAGCTTCTACCCCTCACTGCCCGTTTTTCAGCCTGGACCCATAGGTGGCCTCATCTTTATCCCCAGGGTGCACCACCATGGCAGCGGGCGGGTCCTGGAAGTGTACACCACCCAGCCTGGTGTCCAGTTTTACACGGGCAACTTCCTGGATGGCACTCTGAAGGGCAAGGGCGGAGCGGTCTACCCTAAGCACTCCGGTTTCTGCCTTGAGACACAGAACTGGCCTGACGCAGTCAATCAGGTAAGCCGCACACTGGCTTGTCGGAGTCCGAGGTCACACACGTGGCCACGACACTCAAGCGAGACTTCGTGATCCCAAAGTCCGTGTTTGTTCTCTTCTCCAAGTCATGCCAAACACACAAAACCCACCACCAAGTTAATGGCATGGCATTTCCATGTGCTTAGAAAACTCCAATTCTGTACCTTCGAAACCCTTATGTGGTGTAACATTTCTCCTTGTCAATACCCGTTTATCTTCTTCAACCAGACTTTAAAGCAGCTCCTCCATATCTTTTCTTCCTGTTTGCTCCCTTGTAACTTTCGTTTTTAGATACCATTTACAGCAATGCTCCTCAAAGTGCGGCCCATGCTGAGAAGCTTACACCTTGCTCTAGAACATAAACCCAACATACTGCTTCCTCCAGAAGACAGTCCTGCTTTGACAAAGTGTGCTTGGTGATGAAGATTTTCATTCCAGCTCAAATTCTTCATCTCACTGCAAACCGTAACAGTGTTCCCATGCTGGCACTGGTCCACGGAGCCCTGGTCTTAGAGACCAGTCCAGAAGCGCACCCTGGTGCGGCCCAGGCTGGCGGGTGTCACCATGTCGTTTTTCCCTTTGCAGCCCCACTTCCCTCCTGTGCTTCTGCGGCCTGGAGAGGAGTATGACCACACCACCTGGTTCAAGTTTTCTGTGGCTTAAGGAAGAGTGAAGATGACAGCCTGGTCCAGGGCCAGGCTGGGACCCCTTTGTCTCCTGTCCAGAGACGAGGTGAAGACGTAGAAGCTTGCAAAGTGATCCTGCTCATTAAATCCTACAAATGGCAGCTGTCACGATAATAGTCTGAATGTTGATTTCCTTTTTGAGTGACTGGCTGTAGGCGATATCCAGTGACAAGCTCTGTTCTCTGGTGGTTCAGAGGACGAGTGAACTCAGCCACCAGTGTCACCACCCCAAGCCTGACCCTAGCCCAGAAGTGGTTCCCTGGGACTCTCATGCTGTTCAGGTGCCATGGCTCCACATGGCCTCATTCTTTTCTACTTTCCTCCCTCCCTCCCGCCCTTTCTTTACCACTTTCTCAGCGCTTCTCCCAGTCTCTCTCAAAGCTCTCCAGCGTCCTCTGAGGTCTCAGTACCTTGCTTGGCATGTGCACAGATGAGCACTCGCTCTGTCCTGCAAAGCAGCAGGTGACTGGCGACAGAGCCGAGACTCAGGTTGAGTGACTCATCTCACAAGCCAGCGAAAGTCTTAGCTGAGACTTCAGTTCAGTCCCAGGGTCACCGAGGAGCATAAAGGGATCCAGCCCCTGTGCTCCAGCTGTTGATGGCCACCCAGTCTTCTCACGTTCGCTTTCATAGCACGCATGGGGATGAGGTGACTCTTAGCAATCTGTCTTTAGAGCCCTTGCGTTTGAAGTTGACTGAGAAAGCCCCGGCTGAAGGGCTGGGGATTTAGCTCAGTGGTTCCACCGCCTGCCCCGAAAGCGCAAGGACCCGAGTTCAATCCCCGGTACCAAAAACAAACAAAGAAAAAACAAAAAGAAAGCCCAGGCTGGCCAAGACATGAAAGAAGGGACAGGAGCCGAGTGTGAGTTTCATAGAGGAGGCTGGAGGCTCCCCTTCTAGATAATCACATCATCAACGATGGGCTTGGGCCGGTGATTTTTTAAAGAAATGTACTTTATACTACTGTCTACTACAATCAGTTGAAATAAAACCACAATCTGCATCTTCAGAAGCTTCCAGTTCCTTCTGTCATTAAGTATTGGCACGGACTGTGGGAAGTGGACCAAGTGTACAGTGTGTGTTCTGGAATCTGTTCTCCAATGGAAGCCCCAAGATTTTCCTAGAGGAAGGCCACTAACTGGCAACCTATTGGGCTGTCCATACCTCCTCTTTCTCTGCAACCAACAATAAACTAGACACTTTTTAAATTCATTTCATCGTGCACTTTCTGAGAACCTACAGTGTATAGTCCTCCACTGGGCCTTTTTTTTTTTTTGGTACCAGTGATCGAACTCGGGACCTTGCGCTTGTGGGGCAGGCAGCGGCACCGCTGAGCTAAATCCCTGGCTCCACTGGGCCTCACAATGTAAAGTATTGAGAAGTATTTTGTTCTCTCAGGAATAACACTTGACTATCTGGGGAAGACGAGACTAATAAATGCAAAACTGTTAGTACAGAACTGGCAGCCCTGAGCTGAGCCACTGACTTCGGTTCTGCCAGTTTTGCTTGACCTCAGTGTTCTCACTTGGGAGATGAAGGGAACTGCAGTTACCTAGAATATGAATGTACATCTGCAGGGCAGGACCCAAAGCTAGGCCATTATTCAAGTTCTTTTTCCTCGAGCCCACACCCTCCCTATAGTTATGATGAAGTGTATGAAAGGGTTTCAAGAAATGTTCAAGCTGGCCAGAGCAGCAAATGCTGGGAGCCTGGTGCTCCAGTCCTGTTTCTCCTCCTGGCTGGGTTCGAGAGGACCTGGAGGGCTAACCAGATCAACTGCTTCAGAGTTTGCAGCAATTTCTACTTCTTTCACACTTCCTCCTACGAACCTCTGGACAATTAAATTCTTACTGTTATCACCTCCTCCATTAGGAAAACTGTTCATTTGCACTTCATTGTAATAACTGTGAGAGTCCGAATGGGTTGCTTCATCTGACCCCTACAGCTCTGCATGAGGTGGTGAAGTCCCTGTGAAGAGGTCACAGGCTGGAGAAAGTCACGCTGCTACAAAAGTGCCAGATGTAGAGCGCATGACTGTACCCTCTGAGAAGAAGCCCAGTGTATGTTCTGTGGGCACCATACTAAAGAATGAGAAGGTTCATAACATACAGTGTTGATAAATGAAGAATTTCTACTCAATCACTATTGGTAGAAACATAAATTGATGCTTTTCTGGAGGGAGATTAGTCCGAAGGTAAATATGAAAAACTTGCAAAACTTATGATCTAATAATTCCACATCTAGATTGTATAGAAATACTAGCAAAAATGTGTAAAAGGAAACATTCAGACAACTGTGTTCATTCATTGAAACCTAATTGGTAATAATGAACAGCTTTTGGGCCGGGGATTTAGCTCAGTGGCTCTGCCACCTGCCCTGAAAGCAGAAGGACCCAAGTTTGATCCCCTGTACCAAAAAAAATGAAAAAAGAAAGAAAAGCTTTTAAATTACCTAATGCCATCCAGACAGAAATGGATGAATGATAACCCATTCAGTGGGATGCTATGGGTTTTTTGGGGGGGTACCAGGGATCAAAGTCAGGACCTTGTGCTTGAGAGGCAGGCATCAGAACCACTGAGTTAAATCCCTGGCAGTACTATGTGATCATTAAAAAGGATGAGGTAAAATGGGGCATGGTGCCCCATGCCTGTAATCCCAGCATTCTAGGAGGCCGAGGCAGCAGGATCGAAAGTTCAAGCCAGGCCAAGGCAACTTGGTAAGACCTCGGCTCAAAATATAGAGGGCTGGAGCCGGGGATTTAGCTCAGTGGTCTCACCGCCTGCTGTGCAAGCACAAGGACCCGAGTTCAATCCTTGGTACAA